TCACAGGAATATATATATATATATATATATATATATATATAGAAAACAGTTTGCTGAAATTGTAATAATATTCCCCAATATTACAGTTTTACTGTATTTTTGATCAAATAAATGCAGCCTTGGCGAGCATAAGAGACTTCTTTCAAAAACGTTAAAAAAATCTTCATGAGCCCAAACTTTTGAAAGGCACTGTTAAAGTTAAGTGAAGTGTGTCATTTCTGTGCCTCTAGCATCAATAGCAAAAACACTGAATTCCAGACAATTGCAAATTAGTCCTGCCAATAATGCCATTAGTTGACTTGAGACAATGTTGATATGTTTTTTTGTTGTTGTTAGAATACTTTAATCCATATCAGGAGTATGGAAAGACCAAATGTAAGCCATTTTTGGATTTCCCCAAAAAGTCTTTGCGATTTGCTCAAAGTACTGCGACCAACGACAGACTGAGTGTGTTTGGCGAAACAGTTAAAAATAGCCATTGTTTTTGCTATTCTGTTTAGTGGCGTTAATGGCATTGAAATTATGCACTTCACTTTTAATGGCACAGATGTTTGAAGGTAACTCTATTGCCCCCTTGAGTATGCAAGCTGGCACAGTGAAGGAATAATGCACATTTAATAAGTACAACAGGACTACCAAGTACTGGCCAAGCATTTGCGTAGAGTATGGTTCTGGCCAGTGACTCACTAAAACCCAAAGGAATAAAATCACAGAACAGCTCTTTAATCTCTGTACGTTCCAGTCCAAAAACCCAGGAGAAGCAGAGCCTAGTTAGGAGAGAGCGAGGGCGTGAGAGAAATGTGATAGGAAATAAAGAAGGAAAGTGAGAAAGTGTGCCTCTGGTACAAATATTTAAGAAGATTTGCTGATCACAGAGAGCAAAGGGTTTGTGTAGAGGGAGGCCCTTTCATCATCTGAACAGAAAGCATATCAGAGAAAATGAGAGATACTGAAAGAGAGAATCTGATGTCTTACAATTCGAAAGCAGCTGCGGACACTGGGCTCCACGTTGCTCCCTCCAAATGCCGCCACCTCCCCGAGCTGCCGAGGGATCTGAATAGCCTCGTGCAGTAACAGACTGAGATGTTTCTGATCTGTCAGTCCACCTGGACCACACACCTGTCTGAAAAGGTCTGCAATACATAAACAGAAGACCTGGTTGAATGCTGCACTAAAAGGAGACACTAGGGAAAGGGAGCATTGTGCCAGTGTGCAGAAACCTGGAGGTGGGCAAACTGAGAATGTGAGACTTAAATGGCGTTAGGTTACAGGGGTGTGAGGTGAGATGGCTCACACTTTCATGTGTGATATGTTGGCACTGTAAAAAAAAATACATTTCTTATTCAGTGTTTTTAAAGTTAAAACATAAAGAAACTTTCATTACAGAATATATGAATTAAGAATATGTTGTTACTATTAACTAAAACTATTCATTTTTGTAATTTAAATAAAGATTAAGAAAATAAAATGTAAATAAAAGATAAACAATTAAAAAAACACAACTTAAAGATATATTCTCAAAAAAAAAAAAGTTGTGATATATATGGTGCAGTTTGCTTAAGTAAATCCATCTTGTTTTAAAGATTTTTAGATATCCCCCCCCCCCCCCCCCCCT